AGCTGAGCACCAAAGCTGCTCTGGCTCCTCCAGTCCCCTTGAGAACACTCCAGCTTTGCTCAGGCATAAGGGTTTTATCCTGAGCAGGATTCTGACCTCAGGGAGGAAAAGGATGCATGTAGCCTTTTACAGCTCCCATCTCTGCTGGGTGTCACAGGTCCAGTCCAACACGGAACAAAACACAGTATTTTTGATTAGAAGAAAAACACACTCATGGTACTGCATCAGGTGGGTTCCTAAAGCATTCCAAGGGCAAATGAAAAGGCTGATGGCTCCCACTTGGGGAGCAGCTGCTCAATCCTCAATCCACTGTCAGTCCAGGCAGCCTGACCAGGGAGGAGGATGTGTGATGACAGAAGCCCCTGAGCCACAGGCCATGTAGCTCTGGTCAGTCACTCTATTGCACTCCAAAACTAGCACCCAGGAGGACCAACACTTTTGTTTGCAGCTTGACCTGCCTCCCTTGCAAAGGGTCCATTGCATACAGATTAAATGCAGTATCCCAAAAACTATGGCAAATAGATAATACTTAACTGGGGTCAATTAAAAAAAATAATTACTCATCCAGGCATAAAATCCTGGGGCAAAAGGGTGGTTGCCTTAAACTATTCAAGTCTAAGAACAAGAGGTAGAGATACCTATGTACTTCATGGTGAAGGAGTTACAGCCTTCTGTCTGTCTTACAATCTCATGTATTTTACTTCAGCTGATGATATAAAACCAAAGGTTCAATCTTCAATAGTCCAGAGAGAAAATGTTAACACTGGTGGGTTTGTTTGCACACAACAAAGTTTAAGCAGACACTTTGCTTTTAATACTTACTTGAAAAAATATGTTTTGTTCTATCTTGAAGCACTACCCTGAAGAATTTTGAGTTTCAGGTTAAGCATCTTGCTTTTCATACAAAAGGCTAAATTCACATGCACACACTGAGCAGAGTGAGCTCAAGGGACAAACTGGGTGCCCAATTTACTGAGGACCTTCTAGAGAAGGATCACACTGCAGAACACAAGGCTGCAAGACCCAGAAACTCACAATGACTATTATTTTCCAAAGACTGGGAATGATGTAAACTCAGCCAACAAATCATACAATGACTGAGGTGGCTATTAACTACATGGTGTTTCTTTAACTTTGCTGGGTTGGTTTGGTTTTTGGGGTTTTTTGAAACAAGGCTTAGAACTATAAGGAAGATACTTATGTTGACAGTGTCATGAAAAGACTAAGGTCAGTGCATAGCCATGTCTGGGAACCACAGGGGACAGGCTAGTCCAGGATCCATGGGTTCTCCAGGCCCTAATGAACATGCAAGGAGTGAAATAAAAGTGACACAGGCAAGGCTGCTGCTGCCCCCAGCACTCTGACCATCACCTGGCACCTGACAGCCAACCCTGCCTGCAGGATGAGGGGCTGCAGCTATCTGCAACCAGCCTGAGTCACTCACCTGCAGGCAGGGTGAACTCATTCCATGCTCTGAACTGTGCTTGGCTGAGAAGCCGTTGTGGTTCAGAGCCTGATCCATGAGCAGATCTGCCATGCCAGCCCAGGGAAGCAGGCTCTTGGCAGTCCCAAATGCCACAGGCTTCAGCTGTCTGCTTTTGTGCCACCTGCCACACCTTCGGTTATTTTTCCTGTGTTTCTTTCCTTAAGATTACACCGTACTAAAAGGCTGTAATTCTCCACATAGAATAGCACCAGCAGCAAGTAAACTCACAATTTGGGTGTCCAATTCCAATTCATTTCCTCAGTCATGTTTTATGGCCAGCTATGGGCAGGATCTTTCAAATCCTTACTTGAATCAGTAAATAGTCTTTGACCTCAGAATGCACCCATGCAAGTAAAAATCAGCACAACTGAGCCTCCAGCTGATCTGGAAGCCAAATTTTAAAGGTGTTTCAAACTGTAACATGGTGCAGGTGGTCAGTGTTTTATTACTAGGGACTAAAGTTTACAAGAGTTGTATTTCTTTGCATATAAGAGAAGGCAGTAAAATGCCACAGAGTGTGGATACCAGATCAGTTTTCCAGTATATTACTATAACTATCTATATAGTTATCTATAGTTATTTATCCCAAGTTGCAGCAGATTCACTACATGCATAAAGTTTCCTAATGCACACTCTAATTAAAAAAAGAAAATTAAATAGTTGCAATGGTTTCAAGGATTTCATCAGCATCACTGCTCACTTACAGTCCTGTGCCCTACACAATAAAAATTTAAGTTACAGAAAAACGAAGAGTGAATGTATTTGGCCTGTTCCACAGATATTCACAGTTTAACCATTAAACAAGCATATTTTCAGAGGCTCCAATATTATTAGAGACTGCTCAGAAACACACACACAAACCCCCAGTCCCCACGGGTGTCCCAGCACTACAGAGCACAGGCAAATCTCATTTAGGATCACACAACCACCAGGCAATCCCAGGGAAGGTCTGAGGGCCTCACTCCCTGTCAGCACTGCCAAGGAGCTGCACCTCCTGCTCCTGGTTAGGAAATACAGGGACAGGTCTGGTTTGCGTTCTGTAAACGGTAATTAAAAGACTGAAATTAGGCTAAAAATAAATGGTACTTTGCTAGCTAGATCATTTGGCTATTTTTGCAAGTACTCTGCCCAGTGGGTGGAGTTGCTCCTGCTAGGCTGGAAGCAGCAGAACAAGAGAAGGGCTGTCCCTGTGCTGAGCACGTGGGACCTCAGCCACTGGGAATGCTATGTCCTTTCCCCAGCAGGAAATCAGATTCTCCCTTCCTGTGTGTTCACCTCTGCCTTTACAAAGAAGCTGTACTACATCTGATACATTAAATGGCTGAGCCTTGAAGTGCCCCAGATTGATTTCCTCACTGCCATCCACATTCCAACCACAAGATAAACACCTTCCTTAAAGAGCTCCATCCCTCATCCTCTGGAGCAGCCACTGCCTGCTCTGGTGTGCACTGACTGTCCTTTTGAATAGCCTTCAACACTCTGCACATTTTAAATCTCCTCTAGAAAAAAAACCCTTAAGTGATGAACAAAGCATTTAATAGCTGAATGAAGGAAGAGTCTCAAACTTAAAATACAGTCTTCATCTACTATCGACTCAGCCTCCATTTGGGACTTAGCCTAACAAAGGAGCCTCTGTTGGGGAATTTCATTTAGTCTTTTTAAAACAACAGCACCAGCAAAGGTCTCACCATAAATTCAATGACACCAGCACAACTGCTTTGGCCTGCTTTGCTCACCACATCAGAATAAGGTTTTGCTGCCAAACAGTATTTGTGCCACAGTAGCTTGGAAGGTTATCATAACAAGAACAAAGCTTTGGGTGTATTTACCTATAAAACAGCAACTTCAGGGCTCTCCTCCTGCAAAGGGACAGACTCAGCTGCATCTGAAACAACCACATTTGTTTTGCACAGCTTGTCTCCCAGCAAGAGCAGCATGGACTAAACTCTCCCTTCATTAGATGAAAGAGATGTTATCTGTGGCTTGTGGGTTTCTTTTTAAACAGTTTCCATTACCCACATTTTGTTGGTGATTTATGACCTCAGACCCAAGCAGAGGCTGCACACCAGCAAAGCCAGTCAGAGAATTCAGGCACATCCTACTCCTCTGTCTGCTAACCCCTCTGGGCACAGCAGATGTGCAAAGCATGACACCCTGGACCCAGGGACAAGCTCACCACTTAAAACCTGCTTCCCTTCAGCTTTAGAACCCTTATTATCACAAAAGCCACTAGATGCTAGGGATGACAGTCCAGGCTTTTTTGGTTTGGTTTTTTCAGTTGAAGCTGTTTCATGAGCCTAAAATGCAGCTCTGAAAATAAAAGGTGTGTAATGTAAGTGTATCAAATTCACTAAACCAGCACTTGGCTGTAGAGAAAGCCTTGGCAATCATTCCTTTTACCAAAAAGGTGTAAAAAAGTTGACATACTAAAATTAAAAAAGGTAGCATCAATAACCAAAAAAGTTTCAACCAGTGTTAATAAAACTCCCTTTAAGTCACAACAATTTCAACAGGCAAATAGTCCCAATACAGGCATTGTAAAATAATAAATTGACTCCTATCCAAATATTATCAAATCAGTCTAAAAATGACTCATCTACACTGTTGTCATTAAGAACACATTAAGAATTCACTTTGTCATCAGATGCCGATATTGTTGCTCCAGAAAGTGTGGAGTATTAACTGCAATTTAGCAATTAAACATAGGTTTTAAAAAATTGGTTCTTAATATTAATGCAAAAGATAGTTCCTCACATAGAAGTACTGTGCTTGCCAGACAAGTAAGGTAATACTTTAGGTATAAATCAAACAAATTAAAGCAGAATTATACCACAGTTTTCCTTGAAGACTTAGGATTTGTGTGTTGCTTCTGTCAATGTTTAGCAAACTTAAGAAGCAGAACCTTTGGTTCTTTTAGTCAAGTAAAAATATTCTCATGTAACCACAAAAATACAACTTCCGGGGAAAACGGAAGTCCATCAAGAAGTTCACTTTCAATAAAACTGAGGTAGTACTGCTCTTTTATTACATGAATGTGTAAAGAGATTTAGATACAAATTGTCATCTACCACTCAGTTGACTGACAGGTACAGTAATTTTATAAAACAATCCCAACATTTAGTTTGAAAGTCCAAAAAGAGGAATGATCTGGACTCATTCACTAAGAGTTAGCTTAAAATGGGAATTAGCCATATTACAAAAAGCTGTTGCTTAGGTTGGGTTTTAGAGCCTTATTACCTGGGGATTAATGCATTTATAGTTAACACTGCTGTTCCTCTTGGTATAAAACCTTAAAATTATAACAGCCTAAAATTTCAACAATGTAAACAGCACTACACACAGTACAGACCTGCCCTGACAGATGTAGTATGAAAAACTTAATCTGGCACTGTATAATTTAGCAATGTTAATTTAACCTAACTAAAAAGATCTACATTGTGCAAGAAATATCAGACTTACTTATACTAATCTGAAGTCTTTAAAAAAAAAAAAAAAAAAACAAACCCCCAAAACGCTTAACTTGTAGCCAGGGTCAAATATTTCAGGGCAAGAGTAAAAGGAATAACCAAAATTAAGAAAGTGCCTAAAACATGATACAGCATTTTAGAGCCCTTTCAAAGACAAGGCAGAAAAAGGTGTAAAGTAGAAAAATCTGGAGCCTCGGTAACTTCCAGAAACATCCAGAGTTTACATTTCATGAAGGGCAACAAGTTGCTTTTGTCGCTGCTGCTTCGATGCCGCTAAGTCTGTTCCTCCACACACAGCCCCTCTGTGTCCGAAGATGTAATACATTTGGTTTCCTCTTCCTTTTTCCTTCGCTCCATTTCCCACTCCACAAAGGTATCAAAGAGACTCGGCCAGGCCTCGTCCTCGCTGTAGTTGCTAAGGTCCGGTCCAATCACCTGAGTAAAATTTAGAAACATGTTCCACGTGTCCCGGGAGATTCCCTTGATTCCTGAGGGGTTCTTGACTAGGAAGTGTAACCACTGGTCCAAAATGGGGGGTTTGTTTTGGGTGAAGACTAATTTCCAAAGGGCAATGGCTATTTCCCGATGTAGCGACCTCTGTCCTTCTTCAGAGTCCAGGCCAAACTGAAAGGTGAAACGATAGAGATCCTTGAATTTATCTTCCTGCTTGGCTTCGTTTAGGAGGCTTGGGAACCTTGCACAAATGCCATCAATGCTGTCTGCGTTTATTGCTTTGCAGCCTTCAAAAAACTCCTTCCTATTAAGCAAGAGAAGAGGAATTAGTGTGAGCACTTCCCACCCACCTCACGAGCCGAACGCTTCCCATCTCCATTCAGCTACGTCAAACTGGAAGAGAATTACCTGGACAAGGTGTACCCTAAGCACAGCTGGAACAAAGTTTTGCCTGTGGGAGCTACTGAAAAGAGAGATAATTCCAAGGCATTCCTATTGCCCTGGGCAACCACACAGGTTTAGTGTATCCAGATCTGCTGGGGCACTGTCAGCATTTCAAAGATTTTGCTATGCCTTTCTGACTACTTGACACTACCACATCCAGTGCCTTTCACATTAAAAAAGTGCATTTCATTTACCACAGAAGAAATTCCAAATGTTTGAAAACACCACATTTACATCAGCTCGATTCAACCCTGCCTATGTCTCAATGCCTGTGCTCTGTGCAAGCTGTTCCCAAGGGACAGAGCAGTTCAGTGGTGGCTTTCCTGTGGTTTTTGGTTGCTCTTCCAGCCTGCAAAATAAAAAGGTGCCAATAGTGACGGTCAGCAAGGCACCTGCTGAGAGGGTGGAAGGAAGCACAGCATCACAACATGGGCTACAACACAACACAGGGTCAGCACTGCTCCAACCACCAGTCCTGTGCTAACTGGCCAACTCATGCTCTGGCCAAGTGGGTAGATGGTCAGCTCCGATTTCTCTGATGCTCATGAGCAAGTGTTACAACTAGCCAATATTAACCAGAGTCAGCAGACTGGGATGGGCTGGAGGGAAGACTGGAGATGGTGGAGGGAAGGCAGGAGATGGAGCAGTGCTCAGGAGAGCAGGCTGCATTGCTCTTCTTGATGGAAGAAGTCAATCAGCACCTGTACCATGGAGTGTGCCCTTAAACAAAGGTAACCTCTCATCACTAGATTTGCCCTCTCCAACAAAGACAAGAGCACGTTAATAAAACTCATGGTGGTTGTGCAGAATTACAGACACTACGTGCAATTCCTTTACCACCTTAGCAAATACCCGTGTCATCAGCCTGCAGTAAATCCACGTCTGCATTCCAGAGTAACTCATGCATTTGACACATACACACCCACATCTGAAGATGCTGGAATAGCTATCTGTGCTCAGTGCACAGCAGAGGCTTGGGTCAAAGCTCTGAACACCAAAGTAATTTTCAAAGTTCCAAGTAAAAATAGACAGCATTACTCACACCAATCTAGACAGACCAAAACCAAAAAACTTCTCTCTCACTGCAGGCAGTTCTTTACTTGTTCTTGCCTGGACATTGCTATCAAGCTGGGGGAGGCTGTTGCAGTTTGTTTGGCTGTGGCCTTTGTGGGGTAGGTTTTAGCCATTCTGTCATTTCCTGCAGCACCACACATGCTGTAAGGCTGCTGACCAAGCCCCTTGTCCAGAAGGGCAGACAACACTTTGAATTGCTTGTCAGCCAGTATGAAACAGCTACCAGTGTCAAACCCCTCATGTTCCTTCCCTCTCTGTGCTTTAACAGGTTTACTCTTGGTAAAAGACATTAAGTGTAATACTGGCTGGACAGGAACAATTCTGTCATTCTTTCACAGACTAGTAACTGAGTTAAGTAGCAATTACTAAAGAATCTTACGTTACCTGAAAGGAAAAATCAATTTCAGTGTCCAATCTCATCACCAACATGGAAGATGGATACAGGAACTGCTTTTTGCAAATCAACAATACATGAGTATCTACAGAATCTCACTACACTGTTCATCGTTAGCAGCATAAAGGCCAAACCCACATCTTCTGAAACCCACTGTGAGGGGAAGGGGAAAAGAAGACAATACAAAGCTTACCTTCTGCAGTGGTAGGAATTAATTTGATCAAAATGCAAGTGTTAGAAGAAATAAGTAAGTGAAGCTCTCCAACATACAGCTGACAGGATATACTTTAACATACGAAAATAATTACAAGTTCTACAAGAACTAACCTTGTAAATTTGCACATGGTAGCAGCCTGGAATTTCCAAGCCAAAACTAGTACTTTAAATTCAGTGGGATCAACACAGAGGTCATTGCAAAATCGTTCCATCCCTTCTTCCAGTATGGCATCTTCCCGTTCATCCTTATACCTCCTAAATAACTCCCCAATCCTTTGAAGTGAAGATTCTTCTGCACTGCAAACAGAGTCTTTCTTTGTATCTCCAGGGAACGTTGGAGGCTGACTAGACTCTACAGCAGCATCTGTTTTCTTTGTCCCATTCACAAGTATGTCTCCTGAAGCCTTCCCACAAGCTGAGCCGTGGTCGTCTTTGTGGACTGCACTTCTCTTACTGTGAGACTTGCTGCTGGATTCTCTGTCCCCATTTTTGCTGCCAAGGGTAGAAGAAGGATTCTTGCACTTGGTGACACACTGGCCCATGATGTTGCAAGCCCAGCTTCTACTGTGCTCCCCCTGCCCTTGGACACCCTCGCAGCTGCTCTTCAACACATCTCACCATGCCATTAGCAGCAGTCAGCTAACCTGAAAAACAGTTTCAGACTCAAATTGCTGTTTCTCTACAAAGAATATTGTAAGTATTAAATGTGGGATAACATTTGCCAGTAACAGACCAACTTCAGGATATTTAAGTTTTGCACAGTGAAAAGAAGCAGTGTACAGAAGGTTGGCATATGCCATAAATTTGGGGCAATTTCAGGCTGTTTCACCTAGAAATCAATGCAGCTCACTCAGTGGCTGCAGTATACTAACGGGTCCTAATAAAGGAAATTCCTAAAATTCTTACTACAACATAGGTTACAAAGAGGTTGATTCATGAACAGGCTTCATCAAGACAGACTACTCTAACCCAGAAATATTTTAAAGGAAATGGGTTTTAGAAGTATACCCACATTTTATAGAGAGAGTATAAAACACTGAAACAAAGCAGGGAAGGGGGATGGGGACACTGATGGGACAACCTGGCAGAGACCTAAGCATTAGATCTAGACTGTACCTTCAGCAATTCAGCAAAGGGGTTTTGGCTACTGGCTGTTCTTTTGTGGAAGAGGGGGAATGGAAGTTGTGTGTTTGTTTTTAACAGAGTTCAGAATCTAGATTTTTGTACTTGAAACATACACAGAGTGTGTTTGCTGAAAGGAGACAAGACTCATTTTTCAGGCAAGAGGGTGTTCAGGAATTTCTCATTGTTTCAAGTGGGCTCCTCCCTTCAGGTAAGGAGACAGACAGGGGAGGGGGCCCTGGTAATGACACCTCTCCAGACAGACACAGATGCAGATAAGAAGTAGTAATTCCAGTTCAGGATTTAGTTTTTTTAATAAAAATTAAAATGCCAAAATGATTTCATCACACTCTGTTCTTATAAATCATGAAGCCTTGCATATTTGGAAAAGATATTTTACCCACAGAAAAGGGTTCTCAAATGTTCCCTGTTAGAACCAAACCAGCACTCTGACACTGCCCTATCAGCACACAGCCACACCACACACAGTCCATTTCTCAGAAACATCAACTCCAAGAAAGCAATTGCTTATCATATTCCTCCTTTACCCACTTATTTGCATTTCATCTTTGCTGTCAGTTAGCAAAAACCTCAAACGTAAAAATTGGGTTTGCCTTGTCTTTATGTACTGCTTCCAAGTTAGAATTAAAAGAAGTGAAATTAAAAAAAAAAAGTGAAATAAAATAGATGTCACGTCAGGTTTTCTGTATTCTTTCTTGGCTGAAGCTCTTCTGAGACTGAACCCCTGCTTTAAGCTGTGAACCAACAAGATTCTCAGATATTAGGATTATGAACATAAATCTCCTCTCAGCCACTATCCCTGTTTTGACAAATCAGCACATATGTAGTTCCACAAGCAAAAACATTTGCCAGTGCAACTACAACAGTCAAGGTGCTGATTTTAACTACCTGGCTTCCCTTTCCCTCCCCAGTCCCTGTTCTTAAGCACATAACCCACACACGAGTTTAACAAATACCTATTTTTAAGCAGCAGAAGGAGCAAACATCAACTATGTCCTTTCATCACACTGCTAATAAAGACAAACTTTGCAGCAACTTACAGGCAAAGTAAGGTTCAATTTAATGTATTCCAGAAATTATTATTAAATTGTACTTTAAAGGACTCATTGAAACATGCATGTCCACATAAACAATCCAAAAGACAGTTTCACTGGTCCTTAGTACTTCATTGCTCTGTGAACTGCAGTGCAGAGTGCCACCGATTCCTGTGATGCCATGAGCCTGAGCAACATCATCTTCTCTAGCCATTTCTCCATTACACCAAAACAAACATGATATTATTAGGCAGTGTAAATAAGTGATTAACTCCTAGTTCCCCCCCCCAATCTTTAAATTCACCAGAATTCAAATGCTCAGTGTACACTGACTCTTGTTCTTCCACCAGTTTCTCAAGGGCAGCTAGCACTATGCTGGACAAGTTTTTCTTTAGAGAGAAGCATGCAGGTAAAAGAACATAATAAAAAAATCCTGAGTACAGACTAGAGTTTAAAGCAGAGTTTAGGTAGCATAAAAAACTTTGTGCTCAAACACAACTGCAGTTAGTAGCTATTGGGGATTTGGAACAGCTTTTCCCTGTGGGCAGGTCAAGGAACAGTTGCCTATTAGTGAGTGGTACTGAGCTCTAAAGTAGCTGGTACTAGTCAAATCACACACAATAGAATTGACAGAGATTAATCCAATTCACTTTAGGAAACCCAATTTAAAGTTTAAAACAAACAACGAGACAGTTTGCAAGAGTAACTTACATACTCTGTCCACAAATTTTCCTAACACAAATGATTCATGCTGTCATGCTTCCCAAGCAACAGCTTGATAACAATCTAATGTGCAGGTTTACAAAGTGACATCACCAGCCTGATGAAACAAATGGGGTTTAAAGTCATTTGCTGTCACAAAAAGAGCATTACAATACAGAGGGGGAGGGTCAGCCAGCATTATTAAACACCTGTATGTGAGTAAAGTGTCCCAAAAGCTGGTTCTGAAAACCACAGTAAGCTCAGTAGCATCAACTCAGAGAGTGCAAGTTACCCATCTCCCCTGCAGTGCACCCCTCTAACAAACACAATGTCTGTGCTCCAGTCTACTTGCCTTACCAGGAGCTGAGTGCTGCTCCTGAACAGCCACTGCCTGGGCACTGCTACCACTGCTCTTCCCTGCAGTAACCGAGTTCTTCCTTCCTCCTCCTTGCCGAGTTGATTTTCAGAGCACAATCCTACTCCTTATGAACACCAGAAGAAACTGATGTACAGTTGCTGCAATTCTTCACTTTTCTACTACAAGAAACTTGATGCCATGTGCAAGACACTTTGAAGCATTCTACCCCAAAAATAGCAAAACCAGCTTGGGGAAAAAAAAAAAAAAAAGCCAGACTGCATCCGCTGGCAGCTTGTGCATGTATCTGGTTTTGTAAGAGAGAAAAGTCTTTTGGCAGGCCATCAGTTACCCTTTTGTAAATTGCCTTCACTGAGCTGGATCCACTTCACTTACTAGTCACCTCCGCTTCCTACATGACTCAGGTTTCAAGGCATGAAAGGAACAAGAGGCTCGGAAGGAGATAGAAACAAGTGGGAGAAGTCGGTCCTTTTCTTAAGGAAAGCTGGAGAGAGGATCCAGTTGCAGCATCAGGAGCTGCATAGAACTCAGAGCTCAAGGAGTTTGGGAGAGCACCCTCAGGAAGGCAAACAGAGCTGTGCATTTAGCAAGGCAAGTGTCACATCACAGCTCCAGGAGCACAAGGATATACAGAGATACTTCTCCCAGCTGGATTGCAAACTACGAGTATAAAGTTCTCACATACCCAAAGGATTGGTGGCAAAGCACCAATTCCCAAAAGGGTCAGTTCCCAAAAGCAAAACTACTGTAAGAGGCCTGAATGACACAGCAGCAAGACATAAAAGGCAGCAGTGACCACTACTTCTGCCATTCTCCTAAAAAAAGATAAAAATTCAGGGCTAAGGTTGGAATGTGCTCAGTGCTACTGGATGCAGAACTTCCAAAGAAGTTTATTACTCAGACAAGTATTGAGCAATGACCTACAGTACATATGAATCACCAAGAAGCCCACGAGGACATCTTCCACAAAACAGGAACTGCAAAGCAGAGACTGACTATGATGTTCTCTGCCCCTTTCTACAATGGAGTAAGGAACTGGGAACACAACACTAGTGCTGGTGAATAGAGCCAGATAAAGGAAAGTCACCCTCTAAGAACAAAGGATGTGCAGAACCATATGTCTCCATATTTTAAATTAAAAACCTAGACAAGATTGCAGAGGCCTTGGCTTATGCTTGGTGGAGCTTTTTGTTTTGGTGATTTTTTGTGGCACCTTTTTTTTTTTTCTTTTTTAAGTGCTGTAAGAAATTTAGTTTTTCCCTGTTCTCAAGTGACCAGATCACACACAACCCAAGATTTAAAGGGAACAAAACAAAGTGACTCAGTAATAATTCCCTGTCATACAAACACTCATGACACAGTTGCAAATGGCAGCACTGAAGTGGGGGAGAGCTGACAGAGAAGATGCAAAGGAGATATTTAAGTAACCCTGTATTTTTCTGTAATGACTGACATTATTGTAGTAATAGAAACTATTGGCTATGTCCAGAGAATAACAAGCAAAACAAGCATTATGCTGTTTAGCAAAGTGTTGCATCAGAAAGTATTTACAATTAGTTTAAAAATGCAGAAAGCATCAAGAGAGTAGAGGAAAAAACCCTTCTATACATTCAAGAACACCTCAAAGACAAATTTTGGAAATCTCATCACAAAAGGGGACACAGCTCAGCCAACCATTAAATCCCTTTCCAAGCAGCAGTTCACTAGCTAAGGCAAAGACAACATTGCTAGAGCTTAACTAAACCTCAACTCAGCCTCAGCTTTTCACAAACACTTGAGCATAGCCTGTAAGAATTTTACAGAACTCCACTATGCATTATCTACTCTTTAGTGGACAGGGATACATGACTTATAAAATAGCTGAGAGTATGGAACAGTATCATGCGTACCCTGTCTTTTTCCAGCACTGAACAGAAACACACAGCTCTCCATCAGGGAGGCAGGAGAGGCTCATTGCCACTGCTG